ACTAACACTTATTTAATTTAATTTTGTTTTATTTAGTTACACCCTATTTTATTTTAGTTCATCTCATATTTAATTTAATTTTAACTGAACTAAAAAATCGTTATTATCATCACCAGTATCACTGCTGTGGCCTATATAATGCCAATGACTACCGGTACAGACGTATGTCAACGCCCGTAAGCTGTTATCGCTACCAAAATGCTACGCTTGAATCGAATTTATTTACTCGCGGGTGTGTTGAAGCGCTGGAAACGACGTACCATAAGACCATGGAGCGAGAAAATGTTTTCAATTGGTCCCTACTGATCACTCAAGTAAATACTTAGAATACATATGGAAATATACCTATATGCATATTTATGCATTAATATTGGTATTAAAAATATCTTTCTCCACATTTTTTTTTAAAGTGCGCTGTCTTTCTCTACTCGTGCGTTCTGAGCATTTTGCTTTTCAGACGGCATCGCGCAACATATCGCACAGGCAATGCAGAGGATGACTATGAGGCTCAACAGCCTGGGCCGCACTTCAACCATGTCAACTCGCGCTCCCATTTGCTCTCCAATTAATGAAAGTGCTAAAAGAAGTACTATTGCAAAAATTCATATTTAATTTTTAATTTCGCAGTATCTGAAATTTTATGTTTAAAATTAGAAATAGAAATTTTAGGTAAGTAGTTGTAAACTACTAATACTGTTTTATGTACATACACATACAATGTACATAAATACTTATACATATATTGTAAACTCATATCATAGCTAAAAAGAAATCATATGAAAACATTTAACATTCTTAATTTTTATACGCTAATTTTTAATAAATTATTTTTGATAGAAAAATATCAAGATTTAGAAGTGCTTAAATCTGCAAGTTTTTAGGGGATGTGAAGATAATAAATGTCTACCTAAAATTTCGCTTTTTACTACAACTCTTGGTACTCTCCAGTTCGATAATACGCTAAAGTGAGAGCGGATGAAAATATTAAGGCCATCACCTGAAAAAATAAAATAAAAATATTTGAGAAACCAACGTCCACAATGCACGATGTTCAGTGTAAATACATATCGTTACCTTAATATAAAAAAGCCCTTACTCAATAATAATAATTTATTATACAAAAGTCTGCCGACAACTCACCAAACACCTACTGGATTTTAAAAATGTCTACTATAGCATAAAATTAGCTACATTCTTAAATAAACAGCCTCTAAAAGAAATTCGCAGCAAAAGGGACTTGATTTTGTATGCAGGTTTTTCACCACTCCGTAAAGAAACAAAATATTTAGATAGAGACTTTCTGTATTAAGGTAACGATGTGTGTAGTACACATATGGCCGGTAT